TCGCCCCCTCCTTCTCCCCCTCCCCCTCTCCCACCGACCCCTACCTTCCTCTGCCCCCCACCTCCCGGCAGTACAGAGGAAAGTTACATTAACTGCGTGTCGGCTGTGGATCCAGCCGCAGTTAATCAATTACTCTAACAACTTGAAGCAGCTACCGGAGCACTTCCGGGTTGCAGTTGGTGCCAGACCATCAGGTGTACCGGACCACTGGATGCCAGACCACCGGAGTTTTACTGTATCTCCCATCAATGTTCCACATTCCTCTCTCTTCTCACTTACAGGTCTCCATATTGGCATAATGTGAAGTCTTCATAAAAATATACTTTATACGTGCAGTAAATGTTATCATCCATATAATGTGCAAATTATGATAAAATTAGAAGTGATTTCTGTAAGTGCCCTGACTAAAAGGCTAGAAGAAATCTAGTGTCAATATCAAAGCAGAATTAATATACCATTTTACTGACCTACCTGTGTATAAATGAGGGCATATTTTCCTTTCAAGATACTAACATATTGAGCTGAACTTCCCAACACCCATAATGTTCACATCCAACTAAAATGTATACAGTTACCCTGTTATTATTCTGGACTTGTACACAAACCCTATATATTGACAATCACAATGCAAAGAGATTCCTGATTCTGTCACCACTGAACTTTTCTGATGCATGAATGACCCATCTAGCTTCACTATGCATTATTTTTACAGACGGATGTGTTTTTGCCAGTAGGACAAGCCAAGCCACACATTCAAGGAATCATGGTATCTCCCTCAACTTGATAGTTATTCAGGATTACAGACTGGGTAGTTCAAATATGTGACCATCTTCTGATTTTGTAATGACTGAAGTAGATAAAAAAAAGTGAGAGAGAGCTCCTGATGGTAATTATACTTGTCAGAAGCATTCCACAGAAAATAACACTGGCAGGAAGAGAGGGGATTAAGTAATAAAAACATCAACTCATTAGGTGGGAATTAAGCAATATGAAGATAAAAGAAGTGTGTTTGCAGCTAAGATACTTGCCATGATTCAAACTGAATTTGTAATCAAACCCCACCATCACCACGGTTCCAGAAAAGGCATGTA